ATTTTATTTAATTTTCGCTAAAACCGTTTGCAGCCTACCTCCAAAAGTTAGGCCTCAATTCCGCAGCTTCAGTGTGACTTTTGTATAATTCCTTTTTGAACTTCTGTTTTTGAGGGTTAGGACGCACGATTGTCCTGTGGCTGCTTCTTGTCGCGACGCCTGATGATTTTTTGCTGAAATCGGCAGGGAATGAAAGATGTTAAGGTAGTTAAATGCTGTGCAAATCAGGGAAGGGCATTGCGAAGAAAAGGAGCTCATGCAAGTGTTGAAGGAGTTGTCTGAACATGTGTTAAATTGGAATTTTACTGCACTTTTGGTGGGAAGTACCTGAATTCCAGAATCTACAATGTTTTTAGAATAAGGTGTTAATGGTGGAAGAAGTTATTTGGAGATGTGTCAGAACAGGCGTGCATGGAACGGACGGAAAGAGGGGACGAAAAGGAATGGAAAGAGCTAGCGGAACTGAACGGGAGGCGAGAAACAGGTAATGGAACGGAACGGAACGGAACGGAAAAAAGAAAGGGAATGAAAAGAAAAAGAAGGGAACGGAAACCAAGGAAGAGGAAACGAAAAATAAAGGAAAAGAAGGGAAAGAGACGGGATGGGAAAGAACACAATGAAATTGACAGGAATGGAAGGGAATGGATAAGGACGGAATGTAATGCTATGGAAAGGAACGGAAACGACAGGGAAGGAACAAAAAATAAGGGAACAGAACGAAACAAATAGGACTAGAAAGAAGCTTAGCGGAAAGGATGAGAACGGAACAGAAACAAATGAAAAGGAAGGGACGGAAGGGTAACGAACGTCGGGATGTCGCCGCAAGAAGGAGAGGTTTCTTCCTACTATCGTTTCGCAGCAAGTGCCATTCCTGGAAGCAATCTTCAAGGTATGTGGTTTTTCTGTCGTCTTTCGATGATGAACGTCTATTCTATTATAGGCTACAACGCCGTCCAGCTGATGGCCCTAATGGAACGTACCTATTACGCAAGCACTGGCTGTCAAGTGACAAGTTATTTTGTAGCTTCTTGGTGTGTATTTACCTATGTGATATACTTGATATGTTTTACTCTCGTTTCGTGCTGTATCATTTATGCAAGCGGTAATTCATTTGCTTTCCTTTCTAAAACCATTCACAAATCCTTCTCAAACAATCGCTTTCAGCAGGCGATACACCTGAGGCTGTACGCCAAGGTTTTTCTGATTTCTGAACTCCGCGCTATGTGTAAATGGTGGAGCCAAACGATTCGACTCAGAAAGCTAATTTCAGCCGGTTGTATATCATATCGAAGTTTTTCAGTGATGGTTAACGACTCATGGCCACAGGTTTTGCATCGATTTGAAGATCGATACGAACCCAGGCAGATTACTCTATGCACAGGTCTTAGCTGCGGCTTTTCATACGATCTTTTGAAAATCGAAAACAGCTCATGGATCATGAATGTTACAGAAGTCACGCACAGTAGACGTAGAGCTTAAAGATCTAGGAATGGTACGGCTATTTCATACTGTAACCTATTCCTACTCGATTCTAATCTTATGTCTGTAAGCTATCAGTATGATGTCTAGTGGTATTCAGGTGTGGCAAATTTTTTTTAAACTAAAATAAATTGTTGCTGTAAAATACTAGGAGGATTACATATATGTTTATATCCACATTTATTTATACCGTTATACAGTTTTCTCCTATATTTGAATGCACCGGTAAACGTTCTAGTGCAGTTCCATCATACCATTAGGCCTAGTAACACAGTTTGCTGCACCTGAATGCAGTGTAATAATATTGTTTTATTTTAAAATACAAGATTTACAGTTGTAGTGCGGTACAGTAGTCCCACTTTTGTAGCCAACGAAGTGAGGGACCTCTTGTCGAAGCTGCTTGTCATAAAACCAGAACCCCGCAATTCCGTTGAAGAAGTACTACAGCACCCGAGCGTTAACGTGTGGTTTGACGGGCCGGAAATCAACGCCTTAAGTTATTTTAAATAACTTTCTCATTATATATGTACATACCATACGTTTACAATATAACTATTATACGGTGATGTAGTATAGGACATGCATTACGTGTTCATACGTCGTGTGATGGCGAACATTGTATTTTTATTATTTTGGGCTTACATATCATGTCTGCTAATGATTATGCTGTACGTGGTATCTGAAGATTGTCTGCATAACATGAGGAGCGTTACATGTTTTTTTCGCATGCTTTGTATGTAATATAAATATCTGCCATGCCAAAGGTTGGAAACAACCTCCTAATCAATTAGCCTACCTTGAGCTCTCGAATATTAAATAGAAAATAGTGTAAGTGACCAAGAAGAGCAGACAATAGCCAAGAACATCCAAGAGTCCATACTTTCTCCTTTTTCTTCTTAAGGATGCTTGTCTGTATGCTATTTGGGTTTTAAAGATGTAGATTAATTTAATGAAGGTGATGAATTCATTTGAGCACTGTTTTGCTATTTATTTCTACTTCATACTTGTTTTCTAGCTCCCCCCCCCCAC